TGTGACCTGTGTATTCGTAGGCAGTTGGTAGACCTGTCGTAGGTCCATAGACAGCAGGGGTTCGATCTGTAGGTCTATAGCGTAGGAGTCTTAGTGAGCTTTGGAAGCTTAGCTGTAGACCTTCTAGAAGATAGGCAAGTGGGCAAGTGGTCAAGTGGCGAGGCAAGTGGTGGACTAAACCGCAGTGCAACAACAGTACAACGTTGGTAGGATGGCGGTGAGTCCACAGTCAGTCAGCGGAAGGTACAGTCAGTCCCAGTCCGGTCCAGCAAGTACCACAGGGGGACTGTGAGCACCAAGGGCCGATGGCAAAGGGCAGACCAACGAGTTTCTGAAGTATAAATCAAGAGGCAGCACCGAGCCATTCATTCATTCCTGCGTGAGCCATGCGGAAGCGCTGCCACAGCGACTTGTGCAAGGAGGTCTGCAAATGAGCCCAGAGGACGCAGTGGGCAAGAGAGAGGGAGTTAGTATAGCGATAGTTAGATGCAGCGACAACTGCCATAGCCGTAGTTAGTAGTGAGTGTGTGTGTGTGCTCGAGTGTTAGAGTGATGCGTGTGGGATATCCAGGGTGATCCCGTGTATGTGAACAGTGAGATGTTTGGGCGCTGAAGTCGCCATAGCTAATTGAGAGTGAACTCGTATCTGAAAGCCATATCTCCGAGTTTTTGAGTGGCCGCATGTCGCCAGTATGCTGCATTGCTGTTTACATGCATGAAAAGTGTGTTTGAGAACGAGTCTGATTGCAGGACAGCACATAAATAAATAAATAAGTAAATAAATAAGTAAATAAATAAGTGCTGCTTCAGGCTGTAACTGCGGCCAAAAAGGCCACAGTGGGCCTCCAGGGCGTGTGCTGGACAGCACGCAGCCTGGGGCACATCAGCAACCGTCGGGCCCTGCAAATGGGGCCCGTGTGCAGGCGCAGCATGTAACACTCTCTCTCTCTCTCACTCTCTACTCTCTGCGCTTTTTTTAGCAAGGGGCTCATCTTCAGAATCAGATCCCGATTATTTTGAAGATTCTTTTGTGCTGCAGTCCTCCCCTTCTTCCAATCTATCCTCTTCTTCCACTTCGGCGCTCCCCTTCTGTGATGATTCACCCTCTTCCCCAGTCTCCCTCGCTTGCACCTGCACCTCCTCTTCTCGCAGCACCTTCCTTGGTTGCCCCTTGGGTCTTTTTCCAGGCCCCTTAGCCGCAACCTCGACACCAGCATCCTGTTTGCTCCCCCGCTCAGACGCCGCTGCATCTCCGGCCGCTTGCTCCACGTCTGCCTCCGTGCCCTGCACATGCGGTACCTTCCGTGGTCGCCCTGGAGGCCTCTTTGCAGGCGCCTTCACATTGGGTGCGCACGCTTGATGTTACGGACTCCGCCAGGGCTCGATCCCTGGTCTATCCTTTTGCTGTTTCGGCTGCATCCCGTTTTCGGCCTGGCACCCTTTTTCCAAACCCCTCCTTTGGTACCGTAGGATTTTGGACAACTGGCGCCATGGTGCAATTCTGGGCACCACTTTCAAATACCACATTTTTCAGTTCCGCCCTCGGGGCCTTTGCAGAAATGCCCCTGGTACCGTACGTGTCACTGGTACTTATACCGGCTCCCCGTACGGTATGGGGACCAGTCTCGTACCAGTTTTTTGCTGCTGTACTTGTGCTTCGGTGTGACTTGCTTCGACGTTGTGTTTGGAAATCCAAGACTTCGACTTTGCGACTTTGCCACTCGGTGTCTGCGTCCGTCGAGTCGTGTCGAGTCTGCGTCGAGTTGAGTGAGTGTGTGTGTGCTCTCACTCTCTCCCTCTCTCTCCCAACCTCTTTGCCTCAGCCTCGTCACACTGGTATCGGAGCGGTTCGAACCCGCCGGACCCACCTTGCTTTGTCGTCACCACCTGGCCATCACCAGCATCATCGTCGTGATCGTCGTTGTAGTGCCACGTCATCGTCGTGATCGTCGCCGTCGTGCCACATCATCATCGTCATCGTCGCGATCATCGTCATGGTGCCACGCCACCATCGTCGTGCCCGTCGCCTCGTCACCGCGCCGTGCCATCCTCATCACCGTCGTTGCGACCTCCGCGCAGATAAGTAATCGATGACAATTTTTTTTTTATTATTATTTTTTATTATTTTTTATTCTCTTCATCCTCTTCTTCTTCCAATTATCTTCTTCTTCCAATTATCTTCTTCTTCTTCTTTTTCTTCATTCTTTTCTTCTTCTTATCTTCTTCTTCTTCTTTTTCTTCGTTCTTTTCTTCTTCTTATCTTCTTCTTCTTCTTCTTCTGTCGCCGTCGTCGTCGTCGTCACGACTCCGCTCCTGCTCCCACGCAACCTCCCTCCCCGACTCTCGATCGATCCCCCCCCTCCTCGCTTC